CAAATAAGACGAACGGTTTTTTTTGGGCACGGAAATTGGCAAACCGTGCCCATTTCGGCTAATTACCGTTCCCAAATGAATAACCGTGCCCAAAACAGTCAAAAGATTTTTTTGGGCACGGAAAGTGACAAACCGTGCCCAAATAAGACGAACGGTTTTTTTGGGCACGGAAATTGGCAAACCGTGCCCATTTCGGCTAATTACCGTTCCCAAATGAATAACCGTGCCCAAAACAGTCAAAAGATTTTTTTGGGCACGGAAAGTGACAAACCGTGCCCAAAACGGCTAATTTCCGTGCCCAAAACAGAATTTGTCCGTTTTCTTCAGTTGACAGTTACTTTCTCTAACAGATAATTTAATTCAAAGACAACGTAAAAGAATTTTTTTTTTGTTTGTTGAAGGTAATGGCTTTTTACAATAGTCGTGTATCATGCAAAACTAAGAAAATTTTGTGAAACACATTTGATGTATTTTGATATGCAGATTATGAATACGGAGAATACGAATAATTTGATTAGAAATACGTGAACATGATGCGCCCGCTTTTTGAAGTTTACATCGATCATACGATAACTTCAGTACTTCACAATTTCTATCTAAGATGGTAAAAAACCTTTTTACCGAAGAACTTATACCGATTCAAAGTGACAGCAATTTTGAAGGTCTAGTCCTTTGTTTAACCCCTTCCGGCGTACGACAAGCTATGTTAACTTTAGTGGAAGAAATTTTCATCTCGGATTTGTAAAACACATTATTTGATGTATTTTGATATGCAGATTATGAATGCGGAGAATACGAATAATTTGATTAAAAATACGTGAAATTTATTGTGTATGAGCTAATTTTTGAAATACTGAATTCATTTAGAATGATTAGAAATATTTTCTGATGCACAAAAACGCAAAATATTGTCAATTTACTTCGGAATCTTTGTACGTTATAACAACTACACAGGATCGACTTTTGGGCTCAAAGACTCTTATGTACCACTAGACATCAATTCTTTTATAAGAATCGGACAGGGATCTTGTAAGGATCTACCCAGCTTCTTGTCTGCTTTTGCTAAGAATCTTATGTGATTCTTACCAGATTCTTATATAAGAAGTGGCACGAAAGTTGCACGAATTTCGTAAAACTCAGATAAGAATGTCATAAGAAAGTGATAAGAGTTATTAGTTTCTTATTAGAGTTCTTATGAAATTCTTAGACGAACTTCTTTTTTGTCGTCTCGCGATGGTTCCCTCAGCAATTTTCTTGAATTTTAAACAATAATGAACAAAAAAAGATTTTTTATAAAAGCCGGTACGTTGAGGGTTCGAACCTGGTGGAGTTATTCGTGAGAATCCATGGGTTCTCCTATTGAGATACTGCGGACACATTTATATATAAACATCGCGTCTAACATATTTTTCAACTGAACTTCTGTTATAAGTGGAGCATAGTATTTTGGAAATGGTGTGTATCACGACGGAATATAATTTGGTGCACCGAAATTTTAAGTTTATGATAGTCGATTCTAGACATGAGACTTCTTAATTCTTTGGCTTAGCAAAAATCTACGAAGAAAAAGTTCCTTCTTTGAAATCTTACTGGAACGAAATGAATAGAGAATAATTCTTGCAAAACTCTTGTAAAAATCTGATACGAATAACAATTTTGTAAGGATTCTTATCGCTTCTTCTTCAAGATTGTTAATCGATTCTTATCTGATTCTTACAAAATTCGTGCAACTTTCGTGCCACTTATATAAGAATCGGATAAGATTCTTATCAGAAATTACGAAACTTTTTTGTCTAGGGCATACTCAAATTGATAAACTTCCTTGCGTTCATTCAAAAGGCGATCTGACAAACTTACGGACTTTTCCTGAAAACGAAATTTTTTTATAATTCTCCCGGTTAAAGTACGAATTGTAAAAGAGTTAGCTTGTGAAGAACTGTGGCATATTTATTTTGGTCCCATACTTTTGTTCTAGCATGCTTGCGTAGAGACGGGGATTCTGTTCGGTGATGGCCTGGAATTTAATTGCCGCTGAAAACGGTATTAATATTTGTGGATGGGAAAAAACTCTAGTCTTCCAATAAAATACTTTACTGTGAATGATATTGGGCGGGTCTTTACACTGCCCACTTGCGGAAAAGGTTTTATTATAGAAAAACAAAATAAACAAGAATCAGAACTTAATATATGTTCAAAGCAGTTAACTTACACATTTCGTCTATAAGAATTTTCTACATTCATACGAATGATTACGGTTCGTATAAAGATTCGGACCAATAAATTATGGATTTCCATCGACTGCCTTATTAAGAAATTCATAAGATTCCTATAAGATTGTTGTAGATATTCTATAAGATTCCTATAGAAATCCTATATTAGATGTGACTGTTAGCCTGCCCAGAATTAAATAAATTTCTTTCTTGATTGAAAAAGCAACTTAAACTGTACGAAATATATTCTAAAGTTTCTTTCACGTAGAGAATATAGTAGTTTTGGTAGAGATTCCCTATTTTTCAGAGCTGATTCAATTTATAAATTCTTCAGTGTTTTATACAAGTCTAAATATTTCACACAATTTTTTCTTTTTTGCTATGCCTTTGGTTTGAATAAGCTTTTCGTCATTTATCTTATACAATCATCATACATGTCATTTGGTATCGGGTTTTATTTTTTATTAGAGAGTGCCTGTTAGCAATCAAGATGGCGGGTAACAGTCCAATAATAACAAATGATCCCCTTATTGGAAATATTGTTGAAATTACGATTATGGATGGTGAAACAAACAAAAATGAAATATCATCAGCAATTCTCCCTATACAATTAGATGTGAATATTAATTGGACATTCAAACAACTTATTAAAGAAGCATTAAAGGAAAAGTCTCGATATTTAAAAGATGCCAAAGCTATAGAAAATAAAACTATAGAAAAATTAAAGAGCACGAAGAAATGTTTATACTATAACAATGAAATGATTGGATATAAAAATGCTATTGTATATACTTACCCAGTCAAGGCTGTTATTGGCGAATTAGTCAAATCACAAACATCTTTATATATACTATTAATTCCAGCAACGCAATTATCACCATCATCAAAATACTCCGAATCATCTTTGCGAGCAGAAGGTAAACTTTAAGATTCTATTTATGTACTGCATGTAGTATAATCTGCAACATTGGAACTCATACAAGGCTTAGGGTCTCACTCAGGCGCTCTAAAATCTTGAGATCTCCAGACTATTTCCAGAGGATATCTCAGATTATTCTGGTAAGCCCTATTTTTCATTTTACCACATCTTATTTATTTCTTTTTCTTCTCATTCTTATCTTGAAAAATCGTTTCCTTGACACAATAAGTGTCATAAGGATGATTGAAGGTGAACGAACTTGTTTGCTAACTTTTTCATTCTATAGACAATAGCGTACACAGCAGATCAACTCTATACATTCGGTGATTTCTAGATCGTGTATGTTACTTGAAATTTTGTTTTCAACATTTT